TGCGAGTGCGAGGATTACGCGAGTAAATACGGTACTACTCATCATTCCCATGGTTGCCGAACGATCCCAGCGCCAGAGTCCCCTCTAGTTAATTTTAGGAAACTGTATGCCTGTGGGCACCCATGCTGCTCACTATGCCAGCACACCTGAATCACGAGCAGGTGCGGGTCTTTCTACCGGGGTGGCCAACCAAGCTGCTTCGAACCCGGGCCTCCCTGAAGCAGCACCATGGCTGGCTCTGGTGCGTGTTCAACCATGAAAGTCAACACACCTTCGGAAACGTTATAATGACTATGCGACAGATGGTGATTTTTCTATTGTCTGTTTTTTTTATCAGTAGTAATTACTTAGTAACAACTTTTGTTGGGAGGGAAGGGAGTTTTACATGTGTTGTGTACTTGATTGTAGTTACGTAAACTGTTTCCTTGAACACACTAACGTCGTGCCAACATGGTTTTAAGGGTGTGTCGCTAGTTTCTGTTTCAATGGCTAGCAACATTGGTGGTGCTGTTGTGTGGGCGTTAGGTATGGGGGTTCTAAATAAAGCCGCATTCGGTTTTGTTGTGGCGGGGTTACTCGTTCGCTGTCTTCTTCATGACCCCAGGCTGTGCAGTCTTCATGTTGTCTCGTTGCCCGCTTTGCGCCTTGTCTATTCTTCAGGTGCTGGGTGCAACGACCAGGCTGGGAGCCCGAAGCACCCTGGCTGCGGCTGCAGGCCTGCCTCAGCAAGCTGAGTGGCAGCAGTGGCGAAAGTCGGACACCCAGTGTGTTGCTACGAACGCAGCAGCAGCTACAGAAGCAGCAGGTGGGCTCTCGATTCGTGGCTTCCTTGGCGGGCCGGTAGAATCTCTCGGTCACAAAAACTATGCATAGAGAAAAGATGTGTAAACTTAAAAGGTTTTTCTTGTCCGACACACTAATACTTTTCTATCTTTACATATGCATTGCACTTACAATAAATAACATCGTCTATACTTTCCTTAGCATTGTTGTCTGATACTTATTAAAATGTGTCCAACAAAAAAAGGGGCCCTTAACTTCACTCTGTCATTCATGGCAGGAGTCTTGTTCTTGCAGGCTTGATGTCTTCAGATGGTATGCTAGGGATGGTCGGTCAGCTTCCAGCTCATAATAAATTCACAAGCTACGAGATTCAAACAAACAAGCAATAAAAAAAGTGTTCCACACTTTCTGTAATGGCTACTGGCAGTGCTGACCGACTCTCCCACATTTAAATGCACATGTGCCGTATTTACTCGCATAATAAAAACACTTGCATAATAGGTGCTCCCCCACTTTTGTTGCAAGAAATCAGATGTTTCTTATTTTTGCGCATAATAGGCCCATGCCTATAATGCGTGGTCAGTAGTTCTACACCGCATTTGCCCAGTTGTTATTTGACACACTCTTACTTAACTGGAGCGAGAAAAAAATAAAGACCGCAGCAGCGCTAAGCGGGCTAGCCAAGTGAGGAAGAAGGGCAATTGCCTAGGTGTCAGAGTAACGTTTGCGCTGGCGCAGGCGTAGTAGTTCATGCCTGCACCGATGCAAAGGTCACTCCGACGCCTAGCCAACCGCCCTTCTCCCTCATTTGGCTAGCCCGCAAAGCGCTGCTGTGGTCTTTTTTGTTTTGCTTGCTCAAGTTAGAGGGCGTCAAATAAGAACTGTTCAAAACCGTGCTCCACATGGAATGTGCGATTGCATTCCTTATCAAGTGTGCTTTGTGTTTGCTGTCAGGAAAAGCATCATCATTATCGCGTTTGTCACCTCATCTGCAAATTTAAAAGCTTTTCCGCTTTTCGACGTGTGCTTTCACCATAGGTCGGCACTATGAGAGACTACCCACTCATACTCACTCACCGCAATTTTTTCAGCCTTCACCCTCACTCACGTTCATACTCACGTCTACTCCCACTCATAGGCCCTCACTCACGTTCATACTCACGCCTACTCACACTCACTCCTACTTACTCACGTTCATACTCCTTCTCACACTCAAAGTACTCACTCCTACTCACACTCAAAGTACTCACTCACGTTCATACTCCTACTCGCACTCATGAGTACTCACTCACGTTCATACTCCCTCCTTGTCACACTCGGAGTACTCACTCACGTTCATACTCACTCCAACTCACACTCATGAGTACTCACTCACGTTCAAACTCACTTATACTCATACTGAAAGTACTCATTCACATTCATACTCACTTATACTCATACTCAGAGTACTCACTCACGTTCATACTCACTACTACTCACTCATGAGTACTCACACACGCTCAAACTTACGCCAACTCACACTCTAGGCCCTCACTCACATTCATACTCACGACTACTCACACTGATGAGTACTCACTCATTTCATACTCACGACTACTCACACTTGTGAGTACTCACTCACGTTCATACTCACGCCAGCTAGCACTCATAGGCCCTCACTCACGTTCATACTCACGACTACTCACACTGATGAGTACTCACTCACGTTCATACTCACGCCTACTCACACTCATTGTTCATGGCTCATGTTCATACTCACGACTACTCACACTCTTAGAGAAACACGGACTGCTGGGCGAGTTGGTAATTCATTTTACCTGAGGTGCGCGAAAAATTGAAGTACAAAAGGAAAAAACCTCGAGACAGCGCGCCGTGTCCAGGTGTCTCCTTTTTGTACTTCAATTTTTGGTGCACCTCAATTAAGACACATAGTTACTCACTCACCTTCATACTCATGCCTGCTCAAGATCATAGGCCCTCGCTCATCTCCGCACTCACATAAGAATTCACCTTCATACTTATGCCTACCCATACTCAGGTGCACTCACTCATGTACTTCGGCATTCACATACTCATCATCATCACAGGAGGACAAAGGCCTCTCCCCTGCTCCGCCAGTCAACTCGGTCCTTTGGTTGCTGTTGCCACTTCATACCCGCAAACTTTCTAATTTCATCTGCCCACCAAACTTTGTCTCCCCTTTTTCCGCTTTCTTTCTCTTGGAATCTACAAAATAACAGGCAGAAAACGAAAGTAATGAACAACCTCGAAAGAAAAAACCACTTCGAGATAGGTAATAGTGCACTTCAAGTTGTAAAAGACTATGTCTACTTAGGGCAGGTAATAACCGCGGAGCCGAACCACGAGATTGAAGTAACTAGAAGAATAAGAATGGGGTGGAGGAAATTTGGCAAGCACTCTCAAATTATGACAGGTAGATTGCCACAATAACTCAAGAGGAAGGTATATAACAGCTGCATCTTGCCGGTACTTACCTACTGAGCAGAAACCTGGAGGCTTACAAAAAGGGTTTAGCTTAAATTGAGGAGGACGCAGAGAGCGATGGAAACGAAAATAGTAGTTGTAACCTTAAGAGTCAAAAGAGAGCAGAGTGGATCAGGAAACAAACCGGGGTTAAGGATATCATAGTTGAAGTCAAGAAGAAGTGGACATGGGCCGGGCATGTAGCGTGTAGGCAGGATAACAGCTGGCCATTAAGCATGACTGACCGGGTTTCTAGAGAAAGCAAACGGGTTAGGGGGAGACAGTAAGTTAGGTGGGCAGATGAGATTAGGAAGTTCGCGGGTACATAATGGCAGCAGCAAGCACAGGACCGAGTTGAGTAGCGGATCATGGGAGAGGCCTTTGTCCTGCAGTGGATGTTGTCAGGCCAATGATGAATATTAACATTGAGGTAGCGTTACGTGTACTCAGGTTACTCAAGAAACAATCGAGCTGAACAATTGTCACTTTCTTTAAGGGTCGGTAGGTTCCACAAACAGGCCATGGCTCAGCGCAATTACGATGCACCTGCACATTCATTTGTTTGCCATGACACGTAGGAGACACTGAGACATCGTTTAGAATCTCAGTAATGTGTTACAAGCACTCAAAACGCGCTTTCATAGGTTACGACGCACGCGCGCGAAATAGAGACGCTCTTGACAGCTTCAGTATACTACACCGCCACCGCTATGCTTACCCGCCAGAACCCAAGACGTTGCCATGCCATCCGGTCAGCTGCTTCGTTCATTCCAGTGCCCCTAGCCCCTTCTGACTGCACTATCGGGACAGGCGGGCGCCGGGGCCTCGCCGCCACGTCGGCGCCGTGGTGCCGCGGCCACCCCGGCCGCCCGGCCACGGGTAGGTGTTCTGTGGCCCGGCGCGAACGTCGAGATGGCGCCTCCCTTCTCTGCCTCGCCTTCAGAAGGAATGCGTACCATACGGCAGTTTCGCAGACGAGAAATTGTGCGCATCTTCGGAGATGTTTTCCTTCCTCTGTGGGTTGCGTTCACGCGGAGACTTCGTTGGCTCCGTTCCAGCACTGACGATTGCAGGGGGCCTTATTTATGGATCTGCGGTCGCGGTTAAGGTTCATTGGCAGTGTGCGTACACAGGGTTATTGCGGATAGCCGAATGAAACGGTAATTAACGAGTTGCGTTATGTGTGTTTTTATACTAGCTCGCGTTATGGGAGTGATAGGATAGATTATCAAGAGTGATTAGGCACTTATTGCACATTGTGTCTGCACTGTTGAAGGCATAATAAGCCACCTTTAGGTGTTGTTTCGTCTAACCTTTAATAAATTTTGCGTCAATAATCATGGTGCAGCGTGCGTCCACTCGCACAAACGTGGAAAAAATATACCGTGTGGAGAACACATCCACGTACTAAGTAAATATAATGATTTTATTATTATAGGTGATATAGCTCCAGGTGGAGACTTAGTAGGGCATAGTAAGTATGTGGGAAATTGAATAAAATGAACATGCCTAGCAGAGAAAGTAAATAACTTTGATTATGCAATTATGCAATAACGGCGGTGCATGGTGCCGGGGCCGCCACCATGCACATTTTTACCCTCAATTGTGGTTGATGTTTTGGGGGTTTGTCTGCATCTGTAGGTGACTTTATGCTTAGTAATGGAATAGAGTGAATGAATGTGGATCTGTGCACGGTATGCACAGTGATTCTATAGCGTACATAAAGTGATGATATCCCAAGGGCTCTGAAGCGTGTCAGGGTAGGGAGTGGCAGAATGGCAGAAGGAAAGGCATATATTGCTAAAACAAATAAATTCAATTTTAACAAGGGAGCTGTTTTAAGGTTGGAGTAAGTCCGCGTAGTGTACGCCATGGTCTGCCGTCTGGTAACTCGCACGGGGAAAGCCACAAAAGGCCGTTCGCCCTGTCAACCAGGCACTACACTTTCCTTGGTTGGAAAACACGGCGGAGGAAGAAAAACGGTTGGTAAGGAGCCTCAACAAGCCTCGTTTGTCATTCAAAACAAGTCCACATCGTGTTCTGCAAGTTTGTTACCGCTTGGCATTTTCCAAAACTACAATTTTCAAGTTGTGTGTAACCCGGTATATGAGTCATGCCTCATGACAATACGTAGTTGCTTGCAATGTCTGTTTGTTGTTTTGTTTTGTCTTTTTATTGTGTCTACGTAAAGTTCTTATATTGAAATATTTTTAGAACTATTGCTACAGTTTCGTTTCCTCGCCAAATTGTTACGCCCTGTTCTACACACTTCATTCTTCATGGCTGCTTTCAGTGAGTAGGAAAGGCAACAGATCAAGTCACAAGTCTAACGCCTCCAGCGATCATCACGTTATCATTTATCCATAATGACCATAAATAAATATGGAAACTTCATGCAGATTTCTGCCATGTCTTTCGCAGCATTTGACACGCACATCGCAGTCGCACTTTATAGTTGGCTATGCTGACACACGTGTATATAAGCGAGACATACCTTGACTGCTTAACTTAAAATCGCACAAAATCTTTTCGCACTTC